CGAGTATTTCATTATTTCTGGTGACACCCAGACAGCAAGGCTCGATGCCCCCGTCTTAAATTACCAAAATTGTGTCGAAGCGGGCGCAAACATTTTCATTCAAAAAGAGAAAAGGGGGCTACGATTTAACAAGGAAAAATTATCAAATAACGCTTTGGCGTTATTCAAAACAATGACGTCTAGATTTATATCGAAATGAAAAGAAAGAAAAAAAGATTCCACCATGCCCTGACAGCAACTCAGGCAAGAGAAACTTTAAGTTTTATCATAAAAGGGTTCGCTTCCTTATCCAACTTTCTTGAAGTACCACATTCATTCCTTGAGTCTTACCAAAAAGTTGGAAGATGCACGTTATGATTTCGTTTTCTTCTCAAACAGGAGAGAACCGTTAGCTCACTTTCCCTGATCTTTCCCTGTTACCCATTTGTTTAGGTTCCCCAAGTAGGTTGCTCGGGGCCTACCCCACACTTTTTATGAATGAAATGCGAGAATTCTTCCGCCAAGACTGACCTGCGGGCAGTGACTGGGACTTGAGTCTGGCGTATTTGTTGACGTGTCTGTTGGACTCTGTGTACACGTAGTAGCCGACGCCGTTGGTGTGGTCTCCGTTGGGCCCGGTGCCGGACGTGGGCGTGCTGCCGTGACGTCGGTTCCACTGGAAGTCGTCGTGAGAATCCTGGAGATGACGTCAGCAAACGATTGTCTTAAGTCACAGGTCACAGACCTGACAACAACTTATTTAGTCTCCGTCAAACGATTGTCTTAAGTCACAGGTCACAGACCTGACAACAACTTATTGAGTATCCGTCAAACGATGACTGAAGTCACAGACTTAGCAACTTATTTAGTCTCCGTCAAACAATGACTTAAGTCACAGACTTGACAACTTATTTAATCTCATTCATACGATTGTCTTAAGTCACAGACCTGACAACAACTTATTTAGTCTCCCTCCGTCAAACGATGACTTAAGTCACAGACATGACAAAAACTTATTTTGCCTCCGTCAAACTATATCTTAAGTCACAGAATTGACTTAGAAACGCTTATATAGCTTCCGTCAAATGGTATCTTGAGTCAAAGACTTGACAGCAGCCTATTTAGTCTCCTAACGATATCCTCGCTCGCAATATACGGAAGGCAATTCCTCGTTTGTATACAGCCAATTTTGTTATCTAATTTTCCAGCATCACAAGCTTCCCTATAACTGCATTTCTATTTAGCTTATTTTCATAAATTTGGCCGCAAAAAGAATAATAGAGAAACAAATACTTCATGCACTTGATGTAGGATGTATTTGTTGGGGTTTCATCGATTACGCAATAGCTGTAAATAACAGAGGGATGTATTGTGCCGGCTGAACTAGCGTGGTGTGTATCAAAATTTAAGTCATAAACTTGACAAAGACTTTTTAAACTTTCATCTTTAGTTTTAGATTTAGTAAGGCTTTAACCGCATTTGCAACACGAATAGGTTATGAAAGTTCTGAAGATTAGAAGAAGGAAAGAGACAGACAGACAGACAGACAGACAGACAGACAGACAGACAGACAGACAGACAGAGATGGAGGGAGAGATCGTGAAAACGAGAGAGAGGAGAGACCGAGAAAGCGAGAGAAAAAAGAGAGAGAAAGAGAGAGAGAGAAGGAGAGAGAGGGGGAGAGAGAAAGAGAGAGAGAGAGAGAGGAGAGAGAGAGGAGAGAGACAGAGACAGAGACAGAGACAGGGACAGAGGGGAGAGAGAGGGCGGAGAGAGGGGGACAGCTCTTAGAAAGAAACAGCAGAAGGATGCATAAGGAAAGAGAAGGGTCACGAAAGAGTAAAATCTCCGACCTGAATCAGATTGCACATGCCAGTCTCGAAGGTGCAGTCAATGAGCAGCTGGGTGTTGGCGGGAACTGTGATGTGACCTGTGTCCACGGAGCATCCGTACAGCAACTGGATTCTCTTCACGTCCAGAGTGCTCAGACGAAGACGTTGACCCAGTTGTTGACCTTTAGCCAGGTTGGGTTTGGGTGTGATGGTTGGCTTTGAGCCGTCCACGGCGAAAATGTAGGCCGAATAGTGCATGATGGACCTGGGAAAAGTTCCCTTGTTAGTTTTCTTTTGATTTTTGCTCAGTTGTTTTTTTTAGGTCACTTGTATTTGGTACCCTGACATCCTTGCAGTCTGTCCATAGGAGTTGAGACAGAACATGAAAAGGAAGAAAATAGAGGAAGGGATAGTAGAAAGAACCAATGAACTAACGAGTGGTGTAATAGATGCATAAAAAAAACAATTAAGAAACAAGTAATAATGTTAGAAGTAGAAAGAACCAATGAAAGAACGTTATCAGTAGAAAGAACCAATGAACTAACAAGTAATAATGTTATAAGTAGATAGAATCAATGAATTAACGAGTAATGTAATATATGTATTTAAAAAGACAACGAACAAACGAACTAATGAACTAACAGGTAATTATGTTAGAAGTAGAAAGAACCAATGATCTAAGGAGACAAAATGTTTTAAGTAGATAGAACCAATGAACAAACGAGTAATAATGTTATAAGTAGATAGAACCAATGAACAAACGAGTAATAATGTTATAAGTAGATAGAACCAATGAACAAACGAGTAATAATGTTATAAGTAG